TATATGACTTTTTAACTACTGTTAACTAGCCCACTAAGTATTCTGTAAGTATTTCATTGGTGTTTGATATTTCAATTTTCATATTTAATTTAATTTTTAACAATTAATTTAACTACTGGTAGAAATACACATTCAAAATATTTTTAAAACTTTACATCGTGAATTGTAAATACATCATATTCAAATGACATTATGACCAATGGGTCGGATATACCTAGAAAGAATGATTTTTTCTTTCTTGTTTTGGAATAGAAGTTGCAGTATGACTTTCTTATTGAATTATACTCAAAATCGTGCAATGATTTTTGAATTAGGTTTTTTTTATTTACGATTAGAGGTGGCAATTTGTAATCCAATTAATGAATATAATCTAATCCATCAACTTAATATCCAACTAATCCAAACCATTAAAATCCAATCCGTTTGATACAAATTCAATTGGATGAGTGGGTTTGTGGTCGTTAGCAAATAATAGTTAGTACCTATATTTTTTATAATTTACAATTTGGTACCTAAAATTTATTTATTTTATTCAAAAATGTCATTGGAAATTTAAGTTTTGGTATATAGACTTTTTTATTATGACATTTTAGTACCTAAACTTTCAAAATTTTCATATTGGTCCAATGCTTGGATGTCATTTGGATACATGGATCAATCCACCAATCCATATGATCCAATCCATGAATCCACCAATCCGTTTGCCACCTCTATTTACGATTGTTTTATAGTATAAATTTTGACAATATATAGGATGTATTGATTTTAATTTAGGTCTAAAAAAATTGAAATTTAAGAGAAATTTTTTAGGGAGGGGTAGTTCGGACATTACATATGCGATTTGGGATGATTGCAAAGGAACGGGGCTTCATTAAGAAACAAAAGATATTCGCTCTCTTTATCTCTCTATCCATCCGCCGCCTAAAATTTCTCGCTGAGAGAGAGGAAATGAAAGGGAGCTCTCGCAATAAGGATTTGGGTCGGAAATTTTGTTGATGGTGAGGGGTTCAGTTTTCTCTAGTTTAACAAAAATTCGGATAAAATTTCAGGTTAGGTTTTCCTGGAGTTTTAGGGTTTCTGTGTCTGCTACGGTGACGGTGACACAGAGTTAGTTGAATGTGTGGGAGTATTCTGGTGATTGAGTGTATAGAGAGCCTGTTTTGAATCCTTTGTTCTGCCTCCTGCGTTCAAGGTTATGTTTTATTAGGGGTAGATAGTGAGAGTTTCCTTGGTAGCCACGAGCTGTAGTGCTCTTGACTAAAGTTTGAAACCCTAAGCAAGCCTTCTGCGGCTTAGGGTAAGGTAGCGTTTTCTCCAGCTAAGCCTATTTGATTTCTTTTATGAACATACTTTTTAGGGTAATGACTATTTATTAGCCAAACCTTTTTCGAATTCTTTTTTATCAGCCAAATCTATCAAAATATTAAGAATTAGCCAAATGATAACTTCAGTTAGCAATTTTGTTAGTAATATTGACTTGAAAATATGATACTAACTTGGAAGAGACACATGAAGGTCAACATTCCAAAATTTTAGTATTTTAACTAATAAAAGAGTTGCAAAATTACTAACGATAACATGAAAATGGCTAATACTTTGATGCATTACGAAAGATTTGGCTAATTAATAACATTTTAATAGGTTTGGATAATATAAAAGAATATGAAAAAGGTTTGGATAAAATAGATATTACCTACTTTTTATTTGTGTTTCGACGAAGATAAGACCTGGCAAATTCCAATCCGACCCGTTGACCCGACCCGAACCCGTTCGAAAAATGAAAGTTTTTATGACCCGAGATCCGAATGACCCGAACCCGACAACCCGTGATTTTTTTGGGTCGGGTTGGGTGGGTTAGCGGGTCGACCTGTTAGACCCGTTCCATTTCATATGTAACTCGTAAAATGATAAAATCACTCATAAATTGGTGAGATGTTTAAAACAATTCGCAAGGATTTGAAAGACATGTTTGGAGTTTAAGGATAATCAAATATCATGGGGAAGATTTGAGAATATGTTAATTGACATGTGTTTGGTAAACTATTGTCATGCATATGTGAAGATTTGTGTTCTTTAAAAAAATATGAAGCACGTTTGATATTGTTTTTGAGAGCGCTTATAACCCGAAATGACCCGTAACCCGACCCGAATAGAATGGATTGGATCAATATTTATCCCGAAATAATCCAAATCACCCTGACTCGACCCGTAACCTGCAACTCCAACCCGAAATTACCCAACCCGACCTGATTGTCAGGTCTAACGGAGATGTATTGTTTGACAATGACGGGCACATAAAAAGAAGCTGCGATGGTCCAAATGTCACAAATGAGCAATAACAAAGAGACTCAAGTTTTACAGGTCCAAGATACTAATGGATCAATAAAACAACTGACAGCTGAACAGAGGTCATTAGAGATGGATACATAAGCAAATAGTTCCACATAGAGGGGTGACAAGAAGGATATACTATTCTCGGAAGCATTGGAGTACAAAATACAGTGCTGATGATTATGAAGAGGCTCTAGAAATGGAAGAGGAGGATTATGATGCAGTTATGGTCAAGCAATGAACTTGCTGGGATTAGTGGGAAGGTTGTTAATAGAAAAAATCAAAACATCAAATTAATGAAGATTGCTTTATCCAAAGCATGGAGCTTGAAGCAAACCTTTCAGATTACTAACAAGGGAGACCAGTTGTATGGTTTCCAATTTCTTGACAGACAAGATAGAGAGAAGGTCCTTTATGGTGGTCCATGGCGCTATGATAATAATTTGTTGATCTTCATAAAAGCAGTTGCTTTTCATAAACATAGGATTGATGAGTTTTATACAATGAAAATTTGGATAAAGATCTTTGGCTTACCATATGCCTTGAAGATAGCTGAGATGTTACATGAAATTGCTGAGCGTTTTGGCTCTCTAATCTAGGTGGATTAACGACTGGACATAGTAAGGTTTTGGCTCCCTAATCTAGGTGGATTAACGACTGGACATAGTAAGGGAGCATTTCCTGTGCTTAAGAATATGAAAGGATATCAAAACACCATTGAGACAAGAGCTGAAATTTAAGGTACAAGGTGAAATAATGAAATTCCTAGCTAAGTATGTAAATCACCCATGTTTTTTTTCCTGTGAAATTGTTGGACATCCAAAGGCGTTCTGTCCCTCTAAATTATGCGTGGAGAACGATCCTTTTGGACCAAATTTACTGATTGGTAGTCTCCAAAGTAGAACCTAGCAATCAAGACAAGAGAAAGAGGAAACAAATGAGTTATGGATGGCAGTAAGGGCAAAATTTGACAGAGGAACTAAAACTGCAAAAATGAGATTGGGGGCATCAAGTTTCCCATAGGGCAATTTGAGGGGATAGGATCGAAATGAGGCTAGATGATAACAGGACCAAAGGAAACTAAATTTTGACACACAAAAAGGACTTTATGTATCTCAGAGGACAAAAAGTACTATCCTTATTCTTATAAGGGTTCTATAGAAGAACCCTGGAACGAAAAAAGAAGCTCTAGCAAGAGGGGAGCTAACTATAGACAAGCTGGCAACTCAGTTCTAAACTGAGAATACAATAGAAATTCAAAACAATTAGGGTTAATACAATATATTAGCCATAACTATTAAGCAGCGGGGAATTATAGCCACAACTATCGAAATACAAATTATTAGCCAATCGTTAAGTTTTCGTAACACTTCTATTAGTAATGATGACTAAACTTTTATGATGCTGAGTTGGCTCCCACGTGGCAATCATCATATCATATTTTTTACGATGATGACATGGCCTTCTCCGTTAAAAATTTGAAAACAGTAACGACCTGTTAGCCAAATCTTGACCCGCAACAATAGTTATGGCTAATAATTTGTATTTCGATAGTTATGGCTATAATTCCCCGTTGCTTAATAATTATGGCTAATATATTGTATTTACCCTTACTTACTAAGTGTAAGAGCGCAGAGGAGAGGGAGTCATCGATGGATGACTTACTGGATAAAGAAGCACAATTTGGGGAAAACATGGTTTTCAATTTCGAAACAGGGGGCAATAAGGAGAGTCAAAGAAAGCAGAAGCGTTGCCAAAGACAAAATACATAGCACAGGTCACAACAAGGAACCTCAATGATGTAGCTAACACCTCAAAAGAGAAACCTCATACTCAATCTGAAACAAGAAGGGCAGATGATCCCATAAACTTCTTGGATGAAGGAGAAACAAAACCAAAAATATTAAAAGGGGTTTCTTTCTTATAACCCCCAATAGCAAAATTTTATAGTGGATGAAATCAAACCAAATGGTGGAGAGGCGGACCTTGTGGCCACCGAGCTCAATGAGTCTACTAAGTTCCTCTTGCCGAGGTTTGGGTAGTCCATTGGTAGTGAGGAAGTTGGGTGTTATAAACGCGCTGCTACGGATCGGGAAATCGCCGGAATCGACAAAGCAAGAATACGAAAGCGAGAATCGAAAACCACAGACACACGATTTACGTGGTTCACTAACACGATGTGTGTTAGCTACGTCCACGGGCGAGAGAGATCCAATTCACTATATCAAGGAGATTACAGATTACAGAGGAGTATGAGAAGTATTTATAGTACTTCTCCATGTGGGTCTAAACCTAATCCAATCTGCCAAAGGAAACGGTTACCAGTCGTAGCGGCTGATAGTCCGATTCAAGTCATATCAACAAATCTCCACCTTGACTTGAATCCTCTTCCTCTGAAAAATCTCTGATGTACTCTGCTCCTTCTCTCTCTCCCGCCATCAATGCCCCGTAGGGCGGAGTCACCCACTCAAGACATTCAGCAAGTCCAAGCAGTGTTGGAACTTGCCATGTGGAATCGGCTTCGTGAACATATCAGTAGGATTATCCGCGGTGCCAACCTTCTTCACCTTAATCCTCTTCTCTGTCCTCAAGAAATGATACCTCACATCGATGTGCTTAGTCCTCTCATGGTGGACTTGATCCTTGGCCAAGCATATTGCACTCAAACTGTAACATCCCGAACCTTTTCCCGACAAGATACTGTCCGCTTTGGGCCTCTACACCCGCACGGATTTCGACTTGGGGTGCAATTCAGGGTGACTTCCCATAAGGTCACCCATCCTTGTTGTGCTCCACACTGAGCACGTTTAACTTTGGAGTTCTCACAAGAACTCCTCCGTTACACCCCAAAACGCGTCTTGTCAGTTAAGGCCGGTTTCCTACTTATGAACCATGGATCTCTCCCGTGCTTTGTCGATGTGGGATTCACCTAAGGTGTTACATACACCCCCCCTTGGGACTCAACGTCCTCGTTGAGGTTTGCCCCACCATCGTTCAAGAGGGACGCGGAGAGGCTCTGATACCACTTGTAACATCCCGAACCTTATCCCGACAAGATACTGTCCGCTTTGGGCCTCTACACCCGCACGGATTTCGACTTGGGGTGCAATTCAGGGTGACTTCCCATAAGGTCACCCATCCTTGTTGTGCTCCACACTGAGCACGTTTAACTTTGGAGTTCTCACAAGAACTCCTCCGTTACACCCCAAAACGCGTCTTGTCAGTTAAGGCCGGTTTCCTACTTATGAACCATGGATCTCTCCCGTGCTTTGTCGATGTGGGATTCGCCTAAGGTGTTAGACAAACTGTCACAATACACCACTGCCTGATCATGATGTAGACCCAGATCACCAACCAGTCCCTTCAACCATATTCCCTCCTTAGCAGCTTCTGTCAACGCCATATACTCTGCCTCAGTAGTAGACAATGTCACCGCCGACTGCAGAGTTGCCTTCCAGCTCACTACAGAACTCCCAAGAGTGAATACATAACCGGTCATCGATCTCCTCGTGTCAACATCTCCAGCATAGTCCGAGTCAGAATACCCAAACACCAAGCACTCTGTATCACTTCCGAAGCTAATCCCCACATCAGGTGTACCCTTAAGGTACCGGAAGATCCTCCTCACAGCCTGCCAATGCTCCTTCCCAGGTTGTATCATAAACTTGCTGACAACACTAACAGCATGTGCAAGATCAGGTCTAGTGCATACCATAGCGTACATCAAGCTACCTACTGCACTAGCATATGGGACTCTCGACATGTATTCCTTATCAGCCTCTGACTGCGGTGCATAAGCTGAGGATAGATGAACATTTGAAGCACTAGGAGTATTTAAGGGCTTTGCTGAAGACATGCCAAACCTCGACAATATCTTCTGGATGTAGCTCTTCTGTGACAAGAAAAGCTTCTTCTTCAACCTGTCCCTGTAAATCTCCATACCCAAGATCTTCTGAGCAGCTCCCAAATCCTTCATCTCAAACTCAGCACTGAGAAGCCCCTTTAACTTCTGGATATCAGACTTTGACCTCGCAGCTATGAGCATATAATCCACATACAGAACTAGATATATCATCGAACCATCCTCTGCCTTGCTGTGATATACACAACAATCATATGGACTTCTGATGTAGCCCAACTCAAGCATGTAACTGTCAAATCTCTTGTACCACTGCCTCGGAGATTGCTTAAGTCCATACAAGGACTTCTTTAGCTTACAAACATAGTCTTCTTTTCCCGGAACCTCGAATCCTTCTGGCTGAGTCATGTAAATTTCTTCTTCCAACTCTCCATGTAGGAAAGCTGTCTTCACGTCTAGCTGCTCAAGCTCCAAGTCATAATGTGCCACTATTGCTAGTAGCACTCTGATCAAAGTATGTCTGACCACTAGTGAGAAAATCTCATTATAGTCAACTCCTTCCCTCTGCGAGAAGCCTCCTGCAACCACCCGAGCTTTAAATTTCATGCCCTCTTTAGAAGTGATTCCTTCCTTCTTCTTGTAGATCCACTTGTTTGTAACAATCTTCCTTCCCTGTGGTCGTTTGACTAGCTCCCAAGTCTGATTCCTGTCATGGGATTCCATCTCATCTCCCATTGCGGCAAGCCACTGATCAGCTTCACCACCCAAAACTGCTTCTCTATAGGACTGTGGCTCTCCTGCATCCACTTCCTCAGCAACCTGAAATGAATACGCCACCATGTCCTCGAAGCCATACCTTTGTGGAGGTACTCCTGTAGTCGCTCTCTTCGGTCTACCGGAAGCAATAGACTGTTTAGCTTGTGCACTGGACTCTGAAGTTTCTGGCTCTGCAGAGACATCCTCATCATGTTGATCTTCTCCACCTTGGTGCTCAAACTCACTCTCATTGAGAGTTTGCAGCTCCACCTGCTTATCAACATTCCTGCTACCTTCAGCAACAGTAACCTTCAACATGGGGTTAAACATAGACTTCTCATCAAATATCACATTTCTACTAAGTATAACTCGATTCTTAGAAGGTGACCAGACTAGAAATCCCTTAACTCCATCTCCGTAACCCACAAATACACCCTTCTTTGCCCTTGGGTTCAGTTTACCCTCATCCACGTGATAATAAACAGGACACCCAAAAACTTTCAGTGAAGAGTAATCAGCATGCTTACCATACCACACTTCATAAGGAGTCTTACACTCGATACCTGTGTGTGGTCCACGATTGATCAGGAAGCACGCCATGTTTACTGCTTCTGCCCAGAATCTTCTCTCTAGTCCAGCATTAGAGAGCATGCACCGTGCTCTCTCCAACAATGTCTGGTTCATCCTTTCTGCAACGCCATTCTGCTGGGGTGTATCTCTAACAGTCCGATGACGGGCAATCGCTTCATCCTTGCAGAATTCGTTGAACTCAGAATTACAGAACTCCAGACCATTGTCCGTTCGCAGCTTCTTGATCTTCTTACCGGTCTGATTCTCCACCAATGTCTTCCACTGCTTGAACTTCGTGAAAGCTTCACTTTTCTGCTTCATCATGAAAATCCAAGTAAATCTCGAATAATCATCAATAATAGACAGAAAATACCTGCTGCCTCCAATGGATTCAACTCGTGAAGGACCCCAACAGTCGGAGTGGAGGTAATCCAGTATCCCCTTCGTCCGGTGGATACCCTTCTTGCGAAACTTGCTGCGATGTAGCTTCCCAAACACACAATGCTCACAGAATCCCAAATTCTGCACCTTGTGCCCGCAAAGAAGATCCCTCTTCGATAGAACTTGCATCCCCCGTTCACTCATATGCCCCAGTCTCATGTGTCAGAGAGTGGTCATATCTTCCTGTTGAACCTGAGACGATGCAACTGCAGCAGAACCAGACAACACAGACCCTTGTAATGCATACAAGGTCCCACGCTTCACGCCCTTCAGTACCTTCCTCGAACCCTTGCAGACATACACAACTCCACCTTTTCCTTTGAAGCTGAAACCCTTGCTGTCGAGTAGACTCAAGGAGATCAGGTTCTTTGTCATTCGTGGAACATGCCTGACATCATTCACGGTACAGAACGAACCATCATGTGTTCGAACCTTTATGGACCCGATTCCAACAACCTTGCAGACAGCTCCATTAGCCATGACCACGTTACCACCATCTATCTGCTCGTAGGTTGTGAAGCAATCCCTGTTCGGAGACATATGGTATGAGGCTGCAGTATCCAGAAACCACACATCACCATGATGTGCCTTCTCATCTACAGCCAAGGCGAGATCGTCTTCAGAACTATTGTCCACTTCTGCCACGGCAACTGAACCTTGTTTCTTCTGTTGCCCTCTTCTCTTGGGACAGTTGTATTTCCAATGCCCCACTTCTTTACAGTTGTGACAAGCATCACCTGGCTGTGGACCGGGACCCTTGGAATTCTTGATCGAATTCCCTTTACCAGATTTCTTCTTTCCCTTTCCACCTATAACAGCCAAACCCGATGCCTCACCACCTGTACCAGAACCAGACGCCTTATGCCTGATCTCTCTCGTATGAAGAGCAGACCTGACATCCTCCAACGAAACGCTTTCTTTACCGGCAATAAAAGAATCAACAAAATTCTCATATGAACTCGGCAAAGAAACCAGCAGGATTAGGGCAGCATCCTCGTCATCAACTTGAACATCTATATTACGCAGATCCAGCAAAATAGAGTTAAGCTGTTCGAGATGTTCCCTCAAAGGCGTACCTTCTTGCATCCTCAAGCTGAACAACCGTTGCTTGAGATGCAGCTTGTTGGTTAGAGACTTTGTCATATACAGACTCTCCAGTTTCAACCACAAGCCCGCGACAGTCTTCTCAGCAGCGACTTCAATGATGACGTCATCAGACAACGATAACATGATGGTCGAGTGGGCCTTCTCCTCCAGGGTATTCCACTCATCGTCATCGACCGCTGCCTTCTTCTGTTTCGCAGATAGCGGCCCCCACAGCCCTTGCTGTTTTAATAAAGCCTGCATCTTGATCTGCCATATAGCGAAGCTGTTCTTCCCCGTGAACTTTTCGATCTTCATGTTCACCGACGTCATTCTTCTGAATTGAAAACCCTAGCCTGATTTCCAGCTGCGGCTCTGATACCACTTGTTATAAACGCGCTGCTACGGATCGGGAAATCGCCGGAATCGACAAAGCAAGAATACGAAAGCGAGAATCGAAAACCACAGACACACGATTTACGTGGTTCACTAACACGATGTGTGTTAGCTACGTCCACGGGCGAGAGAGAGCCAATTCACTGTATCAAGGAGATTACAGATAACAGAGGAGTATGAGAAGTATTTATAGTACTTCTCCATGTGGGTCTAAACCTAATCCAATCTGCCAAAGGAAACAGTTACCAGTCGTAGCGGCTGATAGTCCGATTCAAGTCATATCAACATTGGGTAGATTGATCCAGTGAGAAAACCCCACCATGGTTCTCATAATGAAAACCAAAAAGAAAGAAACTGAATGGGAAGAGATAATAGAGGATCTAGGTTGGGAGAAAGGCAAGGGCATATGATCTCAAAACAGAACGTGGCTTACTAGCCATGTGGAGAGATGATATGGAAGTTGAAGCCATGTCCCTATCTTTAAACCATATAGATTTGAAAATAATTGAGAAGGGAGTATAATGGCACTTTACATGTATATATGGTTGGCCAGAGCAGGGAAACAAGGCAAAAACTCAGGAGTTGTTTCGTAAATTACATGATCAATATCAGAACCTAATTCCTTGGTTGGTAAGTGGTGATTTAACCTTATCAATATTATGAGGAAAAACATGGTGTCAACCTCCCTAATCTTAGAGAAATGGAAGGATCTAATAAGGGTATGGAAAACTGCAATCTTGAGGATCTGGGCTATTATGGATACCCTTTCACGTGGGACAATAATCATAACGATGAGAAGAGAGGCTAGATAAGATGGTTTTAAATGAAAAATGGATGACTATGTTTCCACATGCCAGAGTATATCATTTAAGAAGATGCGGTTCTAACCACTCACCTATTCTTTCATGTGTTAGGATCTTTCTTGTTTGAAACTTTGGATGTTATACTCGATGGTTTTAATCAATTGAGGCATTATTGTTGAGTCGATTGAATCCTGATCACTTTTCTTTGATTTTTGCTTTAACTTATGATAGATAGAATCTGATTTGATTAAGAGAGCTTTCTCAATTGGTAATAGGGAATTGATTGTATGAGAGTCAGTCAATTCACTACTTTGTACTGGAATTCATTCCAGTAGTGGAGATCTTTGTCTATTGCCTTAGCTTTGTACTCCGGTGGAGGTTAGTTGTCCG